GAGTGGACCGTCCTCCGACTTCCTGGGCCAAAGGAAGACGAGTCGACAGCACTCCGTTTCTTCGTAACGAGCGGTTTTCTTTCCTTCCTTTCTTCTTCCTTTCCTTCTTTCTTCCCTTCCTTCCTTCCTTCTTTCTTTCTTCCTTCTTTCCTCCCTTCCTTCTTTCTTCCCTTCCTTCCTTCTTCCCTTCCTTCCTTCCTTCTTTCTTTCTTCCTTCTTTCCTCCCTTCCTTCTTTCTTCCCTTCCTTCCTTCTTCCCTTCCTTCCTTCCTTCTTTCTTTCTTCCTTCTTTCCTCCCTTCCTTCTTTCTTCCCTTCCTTCCTTCTTTCTTTCCTTTCTTCCTTCTTTCTTTCTTCTTTCTTTCTTTCCTCCCTTCCTTTCTTTCCTTCCTTCTTTCTTCCCTTCCTTCCTTCCTTTCCTCCCTTCCTTTCTTTCCTTCTTTCTTCCTTCCTTTCCTCCCTTCCTTCCTTCTTTCTTTCCGTCTTCCCTTCCTCCCTTCCTTCCTTCTTTCTTTCCTTCCTTCACTGTTGCTTCGTAAGTCTCATTCTGTTCTCTGTTCCAGCTTCGAACTTCGAAGACAGTAACATTAATTCATGTTTCAACTCTGAATTTATTTATTTATTTTCTTCCCTTATTCAAATTCGAGAACAAATTATCATCGTTAACTGCCTGCTTTATGAAACAATCCATCAACTTCAAACGTCCTTCCTACTCACATTTTATCGCGTATCTCCGTCTGATTTTTGTGCTGGAACGCCAAAAAAAAAAATGCGTCGGTTTGTACTCGACAACTTCAAATGTTGGCAGCCTGTCTTTACGCGTATTTTTAGGAATTATGACAAGACACACGTCGGACTGCACAAAGACGAGATCATAAAACATAAGAGACCAAAGGGCACTAGTTCCATAACTCGTTATCGCACGTATAAAACTGGCCTGCAGTCCCTTGTGGACACTTGGTTTGCCCCAAGGTCTATTACGGCGATGTCAGTTCATGACAGCCACGCGGTTAACCCAATTCAGAGGGCAATTAATCTGTTGCAGATAAACAATACTTAACCCCAGTATGTTAGACGAGACGGCGTATAAAATCATTCGTAGTTGTAAGATTTGAGGTTTTCACGACGGTGAGTATGAAGATTTCTGTCTTCTGGGTTATTGGGCCGCGTAGTCTGGTAGAAGTTTCCCGACGTTTCAGGGATGACGGAGGCAGCATGACCTCTGAAACGTCGGCAAACTTCTACCAGACTACACGGCGCAACAACCCAGAATACAGACATCTTAGGAGACGTCCCCCATTCGCCCAAACGGGTATAATCGCGTCTAACTTGGAGGAACTTGTCACCTCCATATTCAGGGTACATTTTACCCTGAAAATGTGATATGTTCTACCTGAACGGTTAAGACCACACAACTAGCGACAAAAGAAAAGAGAAAAATGCATTTTAAAATTCGTAGCCAATCCCAAACGCCGCCAGTGTCCTAACAAGGAAACCCAGAGATCGGTGAGTCAGTGTCCTGTCCTCCTCAAGAGTTTTAACGAAGATGCCATTTGTCTTCATGTCCGTTTTCCGTTCACTACAACCCACAACAAAGACAAGTCATTTCCTCCACGGATTCTCGCCATCCTGTAAAACAGATTTGTAGCGCACTACCCACATGGATATTATCTACCAAACCTGGCTACAAGATCAAAGAACACTGACGTACGCTGACGCAAAATATATGCGACCCCAAAACTACATCAAAGTACGCGGAAGGAAAAAGTGGAAAGCGCCTTGTGTACTACCGCCCCGCAATACGGCTGGCGTGTGTCGACGACGCTCGGAGGTATTCTGCGGCACGTAAGACACTTTCCCATTATATAGCAACGGTACTGTTCCGTCAAAGTATGGTCCACTTTGCCGATATGCATCAAGTCCCTAGGACAAGTGAGATTTCAGTTGTTATTAATTTCACTTCCAGGGATTGGATAACGGGGTTCGATTTCTGGAAGGGGTCATCACGTCCCAACTCTGTCCCTGTGACCCTCGAAGCATCTTCCTTGTCCAAGTCGTATACTTGGGACTTTTACTCCGGGGTAAAAATGTCTTAGCATTAAAATAACCGTTCACATTAATCTAATGACAATATTAAAAAAAACCACGCGTCTTTGTGAACTGGAGCTTAAGCAGTGATGAAAATTTAATTTAGGCCAAGAGTGCGCTGCGAGGACACGAGTAATATTAATTAAAGGAGCGATTCTGACACAGCGTTTAAAATACCTCATTTGAAGGACGCATAACTTTCATTCATGAACTGGACTGCGAAGGAATTTACTTTAATACGCAATATTCGCGTGTGCCTACTTCCCTTGGTTACTTCGAGAGTTACTGACAGTATTAAATGTAGTAGTGGCGTTGAATGACGGAAAAAGTGATGATAAACGGTGACCTAAAAGGAATGGAGTGGAGTGGAAGCTGTCAAAACGTAATTTGCAGCGGATAACTCTAAACCGTTCCAGTGTCCATGTAGAATTCAACGGTGGGTTCACACTACTCGTGCTCGCGCTCCGTAAATGTGGACGGTTTCACGAGCCCGAGCCCAAACAGCGCGTTCAACCGGAGCCACGTGCTCGCACGATTCGCTAGTGTCTGTACACATACCGGCAAGTCCCTGCTGCGCAAGCAATGTGGACGCCAAGGTGAATTTTGAACGATATTCTGTTTGCGTGTACACAACAGTATTTCCTCCATGTTCGTACAGTCCACAGATCAGGAGAAAATCCCTGCTAGGAATTCGATATACGCGCATGCGCAAGATTACAATACAATACAGGCACGCAGATAAACACCGTACAAAATTTTAATTCAATCATGCCCAAAATGCGTTATACAGTGGCATGCATCAATTCCTGCATCAAACATGCAGCACACAACAGAACACTTCAATGCTAAGCAATTAACTCCTTTGGATCATTTACTACTGCATAATATACAGGTGTCCCCCCCCCACCAAAAAAAAATGCAGACACACGAAGTTAATATTCTATATTATAATGTGTATACATCTTTTTGGAACACTCTGTACACACGATTTCCGGCAAAGACCACGTGTCCTAAAGAACTCTGGACGTCATCTGCCATCGAGGTATTGGAGTGGAACCTTCCACATCACCTATTCTCCTGATCGTAAGTATGCACGGCGGCCATAGTGGCAATATGGAAGAGGGCCTGATAAGTGGAATGTAAAAGAATAATTAAAAATTTGCCTAGGACATCTGTTGGCTCCGGGACACCTACTTCCCTGCACATTTGGCTAAAACAATGGTACAAAGGTGTACTGGTCACTGTTCTGTCTTAGGTCAAGCATTCACTGGTGTGATCCCATGCCATTGTTGCACAATGTCTTCCAACAAGGCTCACATTAACATGCAAATAAACCTAAGCAAAATATGTATCTACAAAAAATGATAAACGTAAAATAAACAGAAAAATTCCTTTAATAACAAATTAAAACAGTACACACCATTAACCGTTTTGAATGGAAAAATTTCTTCCCACGATCGAAAACTACTGGCAGCAGGCTGGGACTACTATTCTTGAGTGTATAGGAACAGCCAGCAATGATAACTTATTACATATAACTTCTGGATGGTGGCCAACCTGGGCTTGGCTTCCGAGCAGAATAAATTTCGGCCCGATTAATTTAAATTACAATTACTTCTGAGGCAGGGCTCAAAAAAAAAAATCTGCGAAATAAGACTCCTTTACTGAACTTCCCGATTGTGGTTAAAAAAGCTACTTTCCCAACAATGAAAACATGCCTTTATAACTCCACGTCTGATCGAAGTAACACGTACGAAAACATGTACATGCATTATTATGAATATATTTTTTTCCTCGATGCACACGTTTTATAAAATACTTAATGTTCCCGTCGGATATGTAACGAAATCAAGTGTTACCCCACCCAGCATAAAATTAAAGGCGGCATAATCATTATTTACTTACGGCACAGAAATAATAGGTGAAAACATTATAATATATATCTGATGGTCTATTGCAACGATTATTAATAACCAACCACACGAAAAATGTACAAATATATGTAAACAACCGTCACTCACCATAGTTGGGCGGAGCGGTCCAACTGAAGTATATGAAAGCATGCAGGTTTTATCACATACCAATCTTACTTTAATTTTCTACAAATGCCACATTGATAAGGAAAGGTTTCCGCTTGCAATTCTGAAACACTAGCAATTTATAAACTTTTGTTTACCTTGAATATTTTAGCAGATACCAGAGAAACCACAACACTACACCGACTACAAGTCCAATCTCGTCTTCACAACGCGAACCCCGTGAACCAACGAGAGTATGCTAGAACTCCCCCAAAAAAATAAATTCGTCAATACGTCTCTGTGCTGCCATCTCTTTCCTCACCTTAAAACTATATAGATACGTGAGAACTCGGAAATCTACCACAGCAATTTCTTGTAAGGGGTGTGGAAATTAGGGCCTTGCACACCACGCAACCTCATGAGAATTTTAACCAATCTGCTAGGCATGTGACTCACATGCGAGTGGTACCAGATTCGAATCCTAACATGTGCTTTGTTACCTCCAAATATATAACTCTGTAATTAAATACCACATTGTAACATTGCTCCATTATAATTCCCTAGTACAATCAAGCATGAGCTATGCTGATCGCCAACATCCGGAACGGATAGGCACTTTAAGGAGAGGAAGAATGTATAAGTTACATTGGATTATGTTGCGTTTAATTGGCTTAGGTTAGGTTAGTTTAAGTTCGTTTAGGTTAGGTTGTAATAGGCTGGGTTAAGTTTTAGAAAAGGGTAGGTAGTTGAGGAAGCGGTTGTGGTCTCTTTTAATGTACTTGAAATTACTGAAGATAAACACTAAAACATTAGTCTGTGGTCAAAAGGCAAGGACAACTGGAATTTTCCTGGGAAACTGGAAGAGACCATAATAAAACAAGTCAGAACAGGTTATGTCAGTTAAAGACATATTACTTGAAGCACAATATTACTGAACATTTCTTCTTCTTATTCTTCTTACAACATTGTTTCCATTTATGTGGGCCAACATATGTACAATATTCATACTAATTTAGTAAAGCAGTGAGCATATAGCTATGCTCTTGGACAAAAAGTGTTGAAGCTTTAGCATAACACAGACATAGCAGAAGAGAAATAACTTTGCAATAAATAAAACTTACAATGACGAATGTTAAACATTTCACACAGAAGGGACTTCCCAAATTTCCTTTATTTTATGACATCATTGATTGTAAGATGAACCCTTCATTTAGTAATATGTTTTCAGGAAGAAAGAGACAATATAAATTCCTAGACCCCATCATATGCAAGATGCACCCTGATTTCAAAAATTTTAAAATGTGTAAAAAAAACATGTCTTAAAACTAAGAAAATATGGTAAATTGTGAATTACTGTGCACATGTACAGCTTAAAAGGAACATTCAACCTCAGAGGCCATGGGTAATACATCTCGTCATTCCCTCTCGAAGCATTTTTCTCGCCTACATCTAATAAAATATTACACAACCAAAGTCATCCCATTTCTATTCAGAACATTCCAGTGTCTCCTAACAATAATACTGAGACAGTTTTACTGTGTTTTTTCACAGTTTTAATAATATCATAGCTATTCAAAACACAGTTACTTTAAAGCTGACACACACAATTTGTGATCGTAGAATGAACAGGTAGCCACAAGCCTTAGGTCTTCAGCAGGTCTATTTGTCGGTACAATCTGATCTTTCACGTGATTCATAGCGGCTTCACCCATCAGATGGCACCAATCCGAACCATAAGCCAGACTCTGATGCTCTCTGTACGTTGCCACAACGAACGGTGGTTTTGTTTTATCAGCATAGTCCAGCACACAAAACCCACCATGCATGCACGCAGCCAAGAGATGCTGCCATCTATGCGGATCCCACTTCAGTCGCCACACTCCTCCACCTAAAGGTGTGGAAGATACAGGATGTTTCACACATCTAGTATCCCAAATTCTGATGTTTTCATCATAACTGGAAAAAAACAAAACAAAATGCTTTTCATAAATTTCAATCTGTTAAATGCAAGCAAATTTTTTATGCACAATAAGAGATATGTGATCTGACAATACAAAATAGTGGGATATCATTCTGGAATTTCTCTACACAGATACACACTAATAATGCACATTTGTCAAACCAAGTGTAAGAATTTGGATTCCTGTAAATCATTTTGTTGACAGATCCTCTGGGAATAATTCAGTTCAATTCTTTATTGCTTTAATGCTATCAATCTTAATCAAACATAGCTCGAAACAGTGTATCTGATTATTTTGTTGGTTTCAGATACCGCAATGTTATATATCACGATCAAAAATATATGACTAAAATAAAATATAAAAATACAACATAAATATAAAATCTACTCATGCCTATATATTCTAAAGTGCTTGGTTTGGAATAGTTGTGACTCAAAATCTGGTTCATTTCATAAGATGGCTATAAAAACAATTTATCTCAAATGGAACACAAAAGATGAAGTCAATGTCCTGCATTCATTTCAGTACCCTAACCAAGGGTGAAAAGTAGGGGTTAATTCCAAAACACATTTATTGATGAATGTTGTAGAGTGTTCACTTTCGTTTTGTTTGGGTATATTTTTTTAGTTGTTGAAATGGTCATAGAATGTATAATTGCTTAAGATGCTCACATTTTTCGGAGATTATTTAACAATATCGTATCAACAGTCATTGCCAAATGAAAGCAGATGATTGGAAACGTAAAATAATCTGCCTTGGTTCATTTCGAAGTAGGCCTACTATCTCGATCTTCACCCGGAGGGAAATCTTCAGAATAGCCGTTTAGATGACCGCGGTTAGAAAAGAGGCCTCTCCCGAATACAATTAAAAATTGTGACATTTTTTACGAGGGTCGCTCATTAAGTAATGCCCCACATTTTTTTTCTCAGCCAATACTGAAGATAGAAAAGTGTACTTTTACATGCTTGAGATTTGATGTTTCCCGCGTTCGTGTACGGAGTTTCAAATGATTCCAACCGATAGCGGAGCTGTAGTGAACTGTTAAAATGGCGTCTGTGAACGACTCTCGTTACAAGCAACGAGCTGTAATTGAATTCCTTGTTGCTGAAAAAGAAACGGTGGTGAACATTCATAAACGTTTGTGTGCTGTGTATGGAAGCTGTGCAGTCGATAGGAGCACCGTTGGTCGCTGGGCTAAGAGAGTTAAAGCTTCAGGAAGTGAAGAAACCGAGCTCCGTGATCTGCCGCGCTCTGGGCGTCCTGCCACAGCCACCACTCCAGACATGTTGAACCGCGCGGATGCCATTATTCGTTAGGATCGGCGCATCACAACTCGACAATTGGCCCAACAGCTTTCAGTCAGCAATGGAAGTGTGATTGCAATTATCCGGGCTCTTGCATATTCGAAGGTGTGCGCAAGATGGGTTCCACGAAGTCTCACAGCAGACCACAGGATTCAAAGGAAAACGATTTCTTCTGAATTGTTGGAGCGTTTTGATGCTGAGGGAGAGGTCTTTCTGTCCCGGATCATTACAGGTGACGAAACCTGGATACACCACTTTGAGCCAGAGACAAAAAGGCAGTCAATGGAGTGGCATCATCCTCAATCACCGAGAAAGAAGAAATTCAAGACAACTCCCTCCGCCGGAAAAGTCATGATGACTGTCTTTTGGGACAGTGATGGGGTCATTCTTGTGGATGTGATGCCCAGAGGTGCGACCATCAATTCAGACGCGTACATCAGGACCCTGAAAACCCTCAAGAAGCGTTTTCGACGAGTTTGGCCTCACAAGCATCCAGCAGAAATTTTGCTCCTGCACGACAATGCACGCCCTCACACAAGTCTGAGAACCCGGGAAGAAATCACCAAATTGGGTTGGACGGTGCTACCCCATCCACCCTACAGTCCAGATCTGGCACCCTCCGACTTCCATCTCTTTGGGCCACTTAAAGATGCTATCCGCGGAACAAGATTTGAAGATGACGAGAGCGTGATTCAAGCAGTGAGGACATGGCTACGTGCACAGGACAAGAGCTGGTACCGGCAAGGCATGCATGCACTTGTTCCACGCTGGCGTAAAACCGTACAAGTTGATGGGGACTATGTGGAAAAATAGTATGTGTAAAGGAAACATTGATTTATATTGTCACTAAATTTCAGCCATCTTGAATAAATATATTCTGAGGAAAAAAATGTGGGGCATTACTTAATGAGCGACCCTCGTATAAAGCCAGTATAATGTGTGAATTAACTCAAAACAGTTCTTTAGCTGCTGCTCGAATCTGTGATTGATGCGTTTTATTTTTTCTTTTCTTTTCAGGGAGTCCCAAAGAGCCGTTGTTCATGTTTTGGATCAAGTTTCAGAAGCACCGTGATATTGCAAGGTAAGTTTGAATCGGTTTTACAAAGTCAGGTGAATGGTTTTAATTGATTAAGAGCTTAAATTTGTTTCTCATTAAGATTTTTTGCCCGATATTGAACGATTTAGCATTTGAGTGAAGACTTGTGACGCCTGCTTCGTGTGCTCTGCTGGACGATATGGGATGTTGGGTTCCTGTTCTTAAATCATACACTTGGAACCTGCAATCATCCCCACCTGAAATATGATTTTTTTTTATATATATATAACCATAACACTACCAAACTCAAAGTTGTATTTAAACACTACCAGATTCTGTTACCTCACTAGAGGGGTAATTACACAAAACGTCAAATTGGAAATATTACTCTTCTGTCTACATTTTTGTCAAATTTGAAATATTACTCTTCTGTCTACATTTTTAACGCTTCTGTTCTTGATAAAATAACGAGACACAGCACTGCTTTTAATAAATAAATAACTGTGCCCAAATAAAAGCATGAAATTCAATGAGAAACTTATGTTGGTTTTTCCTGTAATTTGCCTTTGGTATTATCATGGTTCAAAGGTTATCACTTTTTTGTAACTTTATATACATACAATTGGTTTTATTGTCAGTAATTATAACTTGTGATTATTTACTTTGAAATTTTTAACATTTTTAAAGAACTTGAAGCGTACACTCTCGCTCTTGCCGAGTGCAGTCGACAGTTGTGTTATGCAGAACTTAATGTTAGTGGTGTAATTGTATGCAAGAATGTTAAGATTATATGAGCCCTGTAAAAGAATGTTATTTTATATCAGTAGAAAATCATTACCATGATATAAAATCAACTTGTCTAAATTAAGATTCTGTTCCTTTTGCCAAATGTGTTGCTGTACAGGGTCATACATATCGAAAGACTGGATCCTTAAGTCTTGAAAGATAACCAATCTAAGAGGATATCCTAAATAAAGGCCTGGTATTCCTTGGAAGAGGGCTCGTGCAAGAGGCTGGAAACCTCTCCATAGAAAACAAATTACTCAAAAGCACATAAGCCAGACGGAACTGCACGGATGATGACCATTGAGATGGAGAAAACAATTTGGACCAGATCATACAGAAGGGTCTTACTGTGAAAATGGCAGTGATGATTATATTATGGTTATATGGTTTTGTTCACTTTCACTCATTCCAAACATCAAAATGCCTAAAATAGTCCTTGCACGTATTTTAACGAAACACGGTACAAACCATTTCCATCGTAACAGTACTTTTCTTTTCATTGTCTATGGTCAACTTGAATGTCGTGACCCCTTTCGGGGTTTTCTTGCTTAAGTATCACGGTAGTTTCACCGTGCCTTCCGTGGCCAGTCTTTATCCACCAGACTGGAAGAGGAGACGCGACAAACATCCATGCCTTGAGTGGGACTCGAACCCACGGTCGCAGCGGCCAGGCGCACGAGGGCCACGCCTCAGACCACGTGGCTACTGCACCGGCATAACAGTACTACTGGATGTGAATTTCATTCACTATAAATAATTTTACATTAGGGCATGAATATATTTTCAAGAATACCTTGTTGTTTGTGAAAGATGTAGTCAAAAATGATAAAGCAATATTTTCTAGAAGAAAATATATACTATTTTAAGTTTACACTGTGAAGATTCTATTCCAGTAGTGACACAGAATATTTTACACACCTTTGCACCTTGGATTTGGCACACCTGTTCAACAGCAATAGTAAATAAAACCTCAATGCCAAATGAAATCCAGCAACACAAAGTCAACAACAATCTCAAGGTCATTTGTCCTAGTGCATCTACCAGTTCAACCAGAACAGCATCTTTGTCAACAAATACGTATCATGAACACAGATAGGACAGCTGAGAACTGGGGCAGAACTATTTTTTTCCTGACACAATGCATATATGAACGAGATCACCATCATCACCTTGAAAGAATGTTCATCAGTTCTGCCTGCAGTGAGTTTAAGACTGTTTCTTGCTAAATTTTGGAGTTAATAAACTAGCTACACTAAATCACAAATTTAAAAATCAATTTGTTATGCAAAAGAAAACTATTCTCTGGTAATGAAACACATTTTAAGTGTGCTAACTAATGGCATCCATACTGAATTTTAAATTGAGACACATTGCCTTACCTGTGTAAATAACAGAAGAATTCCAGTAATCAAACGCTGTTATCCAAGCTTCAAACCCATGAGCTTTCCAACATTCTGTCTTTTCCAATGCTAAATGATTTAACCTCAATACAGAAATACATCCTTTTGAATCACTAACACTGATAAGCACATTTTCCTCCGCATCTTTAAATTTCCAGCACCCTGTTGACCAATCCAAAGAAAGCGCTAGTGTTTCACTGTTAACATCCTGAGCAATAATGCAATTACACACCAATGACAGATTGCAGGACAACCAAGGTTCACTTTCTACGTTTTTAATATTGTTCTCATCTGCCTCCGCTTCTCTTGCATGCATTTCATAGATCAGCACATCTCCTACAGAATTAGCGACAGCAAGTAAAATTTTTCCATATATTTTACAATGGCACCACTTGCAGTCCAATATGGCTGGCATTTCTAATGTTTGCAATAGACACAGACCCCTTGAAGAATCAATGGCAAACAGGTACAAACGTCCAAGTCTGCTACAAGGATCAGATACTGCATTCTCTTCACTCTTTTCTTGGTCAGTTAAGAAGCAATCGGAGTCCAGCTTCTTCACTTCTGCATTTTGACTTTGAGCTAGTTGGTAAGTTCCACATACAAATACATTCTGATAAGGAACTACCGGACACCATTCAACACAATCAGCACTGTATACCGTATCCCAAATATGAAGAGTTTGCATATTATTTATTGCTGCCATTTTGGACATCTGTAAATAATAGGAAAATACCTAGTCAAAACTGACAATATCTTTTTTTTCCAGTATATATGTTCAACTGTCCTTTACAGAAACCAGGAAATAATGAATTATCAAAATGAAACAAACGGAGGTAATTTACACTTTCTACATCAATAAGTTTTCATCCTAAAATTGGTTTATTGATTCCTGGTTAGTTTCATTTACATACGAAAAAATGATGGGATAATTATGAATTGAAAGCATGTGAAACATATTATCCCAGTAAATTCATACAGGGACAAAGAAAACAACAGTTAATTTGCCATGGGTCTAGCTGGTCCCTTACTAAGAGATTATAAATTGTAACCACATGAATACAAAGTAGGAATAACACTAACTACTCCACCATAACATAACTATTCCTATCAAAACCTAACCTAACAAAAGTTCAGAATTTGTGAGATTTTAAATTCTGATGGGGGCAAGTATGAAGATGGTTGTTTTATGGGTTGTTGCGCCTTGTAGTCTGGTAGAAGTTTACCATCATGATGGAAGCAGCAAGCACCTTTGAAACATTAGTGAAATGTCAGTAAGCATCTTTGATAAATCAGTAAACCTCTACCAGACTACATGATGCAACAACCCAGAAGAAGCCATCTTCAAGTTCAGACTTGCTTGTCACGTCACGCTAAATTAGTAAGTTATATTCATCTGAAATGTAGCAGACAGTACAAATTTGATAGCCAATACAATGGCAATAAAAGTAAACTTGCCAGCTTAAACCCATTTTCCATCTAAGAATTTTCAAGAAAAAGTGGGACAGATTAGTTAGCATTATTATAAAACAGTCACAGAATTTAAAGTATGTAACTGCCACATCTATTAAGTCAATTTTCAGGTCATCAACTGATCCACAGAATATAGGACAGCCATAATGCAAAGAAGTACAACTAATTTTATAGTTGTACGATGAAATACAATTTTCATATAAAAACTTTCATTAGACTTATTTCTAACTGCTTGGGCATAAATTATGTCGGAAACATCAGCTGTTATATTATGTCAGAACCCTTAGCTGGCAGGCCATTGGCATTAATGAGTAATTCAAACTATTTCAGAAATTTGTGGCAAACAGAGAAGAAACAAACATGGCGAGACTTAAAACCTAAAATTAACAGGATGATGGTTGTTTAGTACGTCACTCTGTATGCTAAATATAATAATAACAAATATGTGCTACCTAATAAAATTATTTAGTTTTATTTCAGACTTTCAGAAGAAGCAAATTCATTAAATGAAGGGGTTTTTTTTGGTTGGGGGGTAGAAGCTGCTTTTACAAAACAATTTAACAAACCAATCACATTGAATCATTCACATTTCTATCAAAATATTAATTCATTCATGTTACGAGTACACTGCAATATAATTTTTGTCATGTACAGTCAAGCTATTCCATAAATCATGAGTTGCAACAACGGGCACTGGAATACCATTTATTAACTATGTTATGAGTATATAAAATGTACAAATCCAGCACAATCATGATAGTTGTCTTCAAAAAACATTATTCTAGTTACCATTTGAGTAATGGGGAAAACGACTTTGCATCAGAATTTATTTGTAATATTAAAATTTGTGCTGACATCTGAGGTAGACAAAATTCCTTAGCTTAACTTTATCATCTGTGGGATGCAACATACGCATGATCCAGCTAGCTGTTCATCACACTAGCATACAACTAAACTGTTAATCCAGGAGTTAAAGGGTCCAGCTGGAAATCCATGTAATACAGGGACTTCCCCTGTCCTCACATGATGAAGGTTAATGCATAACAAAGATAATTTGAAAGCATGTGCATACTCATTGGCTAACTACCAAACCACTCGTGTGTAGTTGGTACATCACAAAAAAAAAAATCGTCTGATGACTTAACAGTAGTTGTGAAGCTCAATAATATTGTGTATTATAAATAATATGTCTTAATCTTTACAGAAGAGGGTCTTCTATAGTAAGCAATCTCACATTATAATATATGCATATCCTAAACACAATTTAAACATAGAAATTTTAATCTATTGCCCCTGATAAATTTCTTGGAATAAAAGTCATACAGAAAAAAAGCCAATATGAAAGGAAGAATTGATTTCTTTTAGAATCCACAATAAATATACTGAAATTACTGAATGGCAGAACAAAATGTTTCAAAGAAGCAGTTTAACTGCTTAAAGTATGACGATTAGGGTTTTATTTACGATTTCACTCCATGGTACATTCTATACATTCTAATACATTAAAGTTTAAGTTCCTAGGCCAAATACACAAAGGCAGTAATGTTCGGGATTACTTCCAGACCTTGAACATTACCGCAGTCCAGTGCCCAGAGCTTATGATACTCAAGATCGCAATGCTCAATTTTACATATATGATTAGTATTCATGACAAAACCTTTGATATGATACAATCATTAAATTAATAATTTATGTTAAATACCTGAGTATATGTTTTTAAAATGAATGTAACTGTGTGATCCAAGGGGGTCATTCACAGTGTGCGGAATTCATGTAAAGTATTGCACACCCAAACAACACAAAATTACTGCTGTATAATGTAAACATAATCTTCAGTAGATAAGAAATTTCTCCCCACTTTCTCAACAGGGAAAATACAGCACAAATATGCTTTTGACAAAACTAACCTAACCATTTACATGTCACAGATTGATTTACTGCATTTGGTGTTTTGAGATCAATGAAATGAATGCCCTGCCATTTCTCAACATTTAAGCTATTTGAGGCTTTCTAACAAGGAAATTATATGCTTCCAAGTAAAAATACTAACAAAAGGTCTCTAATTAAAAATGGGCATATGAAGATTAATATACAGAGTAAATACAAATGAACTGAATGGTCTCAGATATTTATTTAGCAAAAACAAAGGGCCATACAGAAACGAAACATCTCTGAAAGAATTTCAAAACGTGTTAGTAGCACGGAGAAGTGATGTAATTTGAACAAAGGCTACTAGGAGTACAACCGTTGACATAGCAGTAAAATGGTGACTAAACCTGAGAAAGAATTTTGTTTCCTCAAGTTCCATTCCACAAAATCTATAGGCACAGTCTGACAAGGTTTCCAGAGAAAGTTCTATAAAAATCCTCCATGCTAAAAACAATGTTTCTGACATTCTCCTTCCATAGGTATAAGTTTAATTTCTGTATACCACTTAGTTTTTGTTAAATGAATATTTGAAAGCGCTCAAATAATTTATGTTCACCCTGTACTATGGAGTGGAATGCCAACGGTGTTAAATTATCTGCTGCTTCTGAGACATTCTTCATGAGTGACATAACAGAAACAATTTCAGAATAAAGCAAACTATAAATATTCCTTTATCCAGTCTTGGTTTGACCAATACGGAAGAATATCATTTGTGTCAGATGCACCTGTCTGTCTGTCCAATCTATTATAGCCTAGACATCTATATATACAGCAAGGGTGTATATTTCCATTCTCGTTATTCCAAATTTCACTACATCTATAAATAATTTGTTGATGGTTCACTAAATTGGTGTTTTCCAATGCATTAACCAGCAGCAACAGTCTGATATCATAACTCCTATAAAGTCTGATGATTTGTAAGTAATTTAATTATGCTGTATCAACTGTATGAGTTATTCGGCACAAAATGATATGAAAGGGTGGAGAAGGAAGCATTCAGAACCTATTTCAAGGTTGTGACTCCCACACTGATATACTGCTGAATACGTATCGTCAGTTACGTCAGCTGAGTTTCGGACATTCTTAGTGTCCATAGACTGACTTATATACTGAAAAATTATGTTGCATTATCAACTATATTACATGGGTATCTGCTACAAAATGACAATTATGAGAGCAGTATAACTGGATCAAGGTTTTATAAAAAAATATATCAGAAACTTTGCTGCTTTTCAGTTATTGCACAAAGGCGAGGAAGGTTCAGTGCTTGAGCAAATTCCATTTTAAATCAGTGCAATACCGGTGTGCATAACTTCACAGTTATCCCTCCATGAATCCTCTACCACCTTCACAATAAACCCACCAACATTTCTACCAATATCACCACTTTCTACATGAGACACCTTGGTAACCAATATACATACGAGCACAGTCTCACAGACACACTTCATACATATACACTAACACTGTCAATAGCAGGTTTATTAAACAGACCCATCTAAGAACACGAAAATTGCCAAAGAAAACTACAAGCTACTACACACATTATATTAACCATACTACCAAAAAAATAGTTCTCGTGGGTGGCGTAACTGTGACAATATGACAAGTAAACGACCTTTCAATACTTCGAAGTACCGATGTATCAGTGAATTCATAGTTCTGACTGCTTCTGTTTGAAATATTTTATCACTACATATTTGTACTATCGCTGCTCAACCCTGGGATTACCAAGTTCATTTCCTCACATGGGTTATTAAGGAGGACCTCACTGGATCTATAAATCACTGCTGTAATATAAATCCTAGAGTGGCCAAACACACAAAAATGAAGTACCTACAAACGTATAAAAGTTTCTGAACCACGCTAATTTCAATGGAGCCTATTATGCAAAAGATTATATTTTCTACATGTTTAAATCCATCTATTCCTTAGAGTATCACAGGTGGGATTTAATACCAGTAACAGAATGTATGAAGATATCCGTCTTCTGGGTTATTGCGCTGTGTAGTCCGGTCGATGTTAACCAACGTTTCAGAGGTCATACTGCCTCCGTCATCAGGGCGATGAATATGCCAATAGGGTGAGAGGAGCTGGATTTATAGGCCGGGAAGTGAAAGGTGTAGCCTGTAGACGGAGGCAGTATGACCTCTGAAACGTTGGTTAACATCGACCGGACTACACAGCGCAATAACCCAGAAGACGGATATCTTCATACTCACCGCTGTGAGAACCTCAAGTCTTACAACAGAATGTATTTTCACAGATGACTTGAAAATAAAATTGGTGAGATTTAGGTAAAACTGCTTTTTA